TATCTATCTATCTAACTACCTATCATCTATCTATCTATCTATCTATCTATCTATCTATCTATCTATCTATCTATCTATCTATCTATCTATCTATCTATCTATCTATCATCTACACTATATAGCCAAAAGTATTGGGACATCTGCCTTTACATGCACATGAAATTTAATAAAATCTGCAATTGCTGTTATTCGCGGAATTATCAACTTTACGTGGGTTGTGCCTCGGCACAGCGCAGATGAACACAATGTTTGAGGACAGTGCGGCTGTCAATCACCGCGCCGGTGTGGATACTGGCATTCAAAATCACAGATTATTCTTTTTGGAAGTATGACCAACATAATAATTTTCACCGGAAAAGTAACATGATTAAGTCTAGTTAACAATGATTAAATCTAACAATCGCTTATCATATCACATAAAACCGTGCAAATTATACTTTGTTCTTAAATTGTTAATGTTAACAACATCAGCATTGCGTGACTACATTTAATGGCCTTTCGATATTTATCCTCGTTTTCGCATGGGTCCGGTTGCAGTCTCTTTTTTTCTTTAGCCACTCCGAAGTCTTTTGCATTTTACAGCGGGTGAATCTCTAGTTGTCACTGGTGATTGTCGTTCGAACCTTTCTGGATCCGCCATCAAATTGATAAGTTTAATTATCGAGTGCTGTGAGAAAAGACTATAAATCTCCACCTCCAGCATCCTCACACGCAATGTAGCCTACTAGCCGAGACTCTTCTTTATGTGTACAGATGTGACGTAATGACTCAATATAGCCTACTAGCCGAGACTCTTCTTTATGTGTACAGATGTGACGTAATGACTCAATATAGCCTACTAGCCGAGACTCTTCTTTATGTGTACAGATGTGACGTAATGACTCAATATAGCCTACTAGGCGAGACTCCTTCTTTATGTGTACAGATGTGACGTAATGACGCAAAGACATGCTCGAATTTCCCGCGTAAATCCACCAGTACCACTGGAATTAAAAAACATCATTACAAGCTTACCGCTTTGAATCGAGCTAAGGCAAGCAGATAGTGTTGAACACTGCTGGTTATGTAGTTGCTCAAAGATTTATTTTGGATCATTTTTAATCCAAAAAAGCTACGGACTGCACCTTTAAAAATGATATGTTTGTTTTGCTGGTAATTGTCATTTACCTACAGAAACAATTTCTTTAAAATAGTTGCTGGACTGTAAACTATACTTTAAATAGTGTGTCGATAAAGCTACAGCTTCTGCAACACTGTCAGCTTGTTAACCTCTAAAGGCCACTAACATGACATTTCCACCTTGTGCAGCACTGAATTCACGCCACCTTAAGCATCAAACCTGTCCTTCTCAGAAATTGCGGGAGACAAATGTGCTTGCATAGTCCCCGTTTATGTACATATTCATAGACTAATTATGTACTGTAAATAGCACTGAAGGTCATGCATAAACAAATAGTCTGTAACCAGTGATAAACACTCCCAATCAACATACAATGAATGTCATTGGTTTTTAAGGTGCACATTTATAGAATGTTCTGCATTTCACATTAACATAAATATGCATTAAAAAAAAACACTGGTGAAAAACAGCAGAAATGCACGACAGAGGGGGAATTATGAACATCAGCCAATCAGGCTTCAGGTTCAAAGCCACATAGAAAAGACAATCTACCTGATAGCCTACTAAAAACCTCAATAAAACGAAAACCTGACAAAATTCTAAATGTTTTCCGAAAATTACAAAACACGACCATGCAGCAACAATACTTATATGCCGACAGATAATTAAGTGCCATAATTTCTCTGAGGACTCATACAAGGTCTTTGATAACAACAACAGCCACAGTGACAAGAAATCAACAACGACAAAAAAAAAAAAAAAAAAACTTTTTGGATGACAATAATGAAATTATATAATTAAATAAATGCGCATCCCTTTGAAGATGTACAAACAGAAGTGGAACGACTAATGAAAGAAGCAGCGCACATGTTTCCGAGTCCCCGGCGCCATTAACAAACCGCACACGCGTGCAGATCAACACGTCTGTCTGTTTACCGTGAATCCCTTCCTCCAGAGACGCCACCTGCCCTTGATATCGCACACAACCTCCACTCACGTTTTGTTTGAACTTTTTACCATTTAACAACTTTTTGTCATTACAATTTCACAGTTGTAATTAATTAACCCCTAGCGTGATGGAAGTCTACGGGGCAAAACACTCAATACAATAAACATTAGGCTAAACACATTGTACAAAAAAAAACAAAAAAAAAGTTAATGCCTTAAATCTTTAAGTAGCCTACAATCAAATTGGCTGTATAAGTCATTTACACTAAAATTTCATCTAACTGACTCAAAAAATTTAAAATTGCTTAACTTATTACTTATTAGTTAAAGTGATGTAATTTTGTCCATTGATCATGATTTTTTTTTTTTAAGAGTAGGCTACTGTTTGAAAAGAATAACCACAAAACTTAAACATTATACAGTATATCAAATAATTTACTAACATTATCTGTGCAATATGGAATATTTAATCTCCTGTCAAAACCATGTGGACATTTTTGTGGACATTCATGTGGACAAATTCAATATGCGATTCTTTCACTCTAGTGTCATGTTTAGAAAATTTATATTTACGTTTTATGCGATTGTATTTCAAAATTGTGTATTTTAGTGTTTATATTAGTTAAGTGTCTTGCCCCACTAGAGCTGCTAATGTTGTCTACAACTATTAATAGTTTATTTTTTTTAATTGAAATAAAGCTGAAATAAAATAAAATATAAATATTGGTAACACTTTACAATAAGGTCTCATTTGTTAACATTAAGCATGAACTAACATGAACTAATGAGCAATACATTTTTGCAGTATTTATTAACCTTTGTTAATATTAGGCCTACGCTATAAAAATTTTCATGTTAGTTCACAGTACATTAATGTTAAGAGATACAATCTCTGTTTAAAATTGTATTAGTAAATTTTGAGGTTACGTTTACACGACAACAATGTAGCCTACTAAAAATGAAAACGTTTTTTTCCCATTTTTCACTTAGGCCTAGCCTACAGACGTTGTTGTCAAAACGATCCCCGTTCACATGGATCTGCGAAAACAACTAAAAACGCTGTATTCTGCTGCCAGACCAGTAGTTGGCGATATCACCTTGTAAAGAAACACTACGAGCCGGCTAGACTAAACACGTAGGCTATTACGCATGCGCATGATGTTATCTTTTTCACAAATGTGTGTTTTTGGAGGTTTACATGGAGACAATACGTTATCATTTTCCCAAAATGTCGTTGTCATGTAAATAAACAGGCAAAGTTTTCAGTTTTCAGTCAAAAACGATGTCGTGTAAATGGCCCCTAACTTTGCGGGTTTTTTTTTTTGCGAACAGACGACAATGTTGTCACAATGATCTGTGAAAATTATTAAAAACGCTGTATTTTGCTGCCAGACCAGTAGTTGTCGATGTCACTTCGTAAAAAAACACTACGCGCCTCTAGATTGAGCATGTAATGGTAATACGCATGTGCATGACACCATCGTTTACACAAATTCTGTAGTTTACACGGAGACGACTATCGTTTAAAAAACCTTCCGTTTTCAGGTCCCCAAAACACCACTGTCGTGTAAATGAATGGCCAAAACACATAAAACGTTTTCCGTTTTTAGTCGAAAACAGTGTCGTGTAAATAGCCTCTAAAAATAATAAAAAATTTGAAAGGCTGTTCTGGCAACTAACTGAAATAAGATTAAAGTACCTAAAATGGAAATATAAGTTAAATAGAAATATTTAAAAACAAACAATTAAAAAATTACAAAACCACATAATGGATCTACTAAAACTTAAACAATAAATCAATAAATATGAAAAAGCTCATTCAAAATATGATTAAATAGTAATAGTTTATAAATAATACGAAAATAACACTGCTCCATAGACTTCTATTGTAAATACATTACTGAAGAAGTGCAATTTACAGTACTTTTAATTTAACTAGTTTTGACCTGAATCACTCCTTTAGCACCACTAATAGTTTATCCAAAATAACAGACAAGAAAAATTACCAATTGACAACAATTTAATCTGCTATAGGACATTTTGGATGACATTGTTGAATTATTCCTTGAAGGTAAGATGTGTACATTTGCTTTTAACATGAAAAAAAAAAACCTGGATTTAAACATATAGAGTTGACTGATTCTAAGTGTGCGCCGATTAAATGTACAGTAAACATACACACTCCAGTAGAGTGAATCTCTATATATGAGCACGTGTGGTCCACACACACACACCTGACAGTGACAACACATCTCACCTCATCGGATTATCGACGCACCAAAGACAGGAACTGCTAATAACAGTATATACTTTGGATTCATGCATAATAAAAGAAAAGTCGTGCTTTCATCTCCATTGAGAGAAAGCCATGCGTTGGAAGATGAAGTCTAGAAGTTCTTGTCAAATCTACAAGGAGTGATTTTATTGAGTAAGACTAAAGCAGGAAATCTGAAGGGAATTGTGAGAGACGTCAGGTAATCATTTTCAAATAAATCTCAAAGAATACAATGGAAAAATGCAGCATAATAAAAAAAAACTGCCATGTACCATGAAAAAAACAGCTCTTATATTCTAAAAGCTGGAATACTTTACAGTAAGGTTCAGTTTGATAGCATTATTTAATGCAAAAATTGAACAATATTGTCACAGCATTTATTAACCTTGATTAATGTTACAAATACATTTTTAAAGTCAAAATTATAGATATTTATATTTAAATTATAGATATAAATGAAAACATTGTAATTGTTATACATTATAAATGAACATGAACTAATGTATTATCAAAAAGAACAATAGAATATTTATAAACGAATGCTGTATAGTTATCATCAGTCGCTTAATGCATTAACTAATGCTAGAAAATCAAACCTTATTGTAAAGTGTTACCAAACAAATATCAGAACTTTTATTTCTAAATTACATCACTATATAATATAGTGAAGATGCCGATTTATTACAGTTGAACAACCAAGATGCTGAACTAGTTGTCCGGTAAGTGCTAGTTAAGAAATTAACTTTTATTTTAATGTTCCAGCACTCATAACCAACAAAAATATTACAGAGGAAAAATGTGAATTTATGTCCCTTTGTAAGCAGTGGGTCAATAACGTTGGTCGAAGCCACGACTCCACACCGACCTGAACCCAGTGTTGCCTTTTGTCTTAAAGCAGTTTATGAATACAGAACTCTGGCTCTGGGTCAGTGTAAAAGGCATTTCAACTCAAAGTCTCCTCTCATCTCACTTGTCTTTGCCTTTTTCTTCAGGACCTCGTCTCTCGCTCCGGGCTCTGCACTCGGAGCACTCCACGCCTTCATCTCCCCCGTGCTCTTCCTCTTCCTCATCCTCGTCGTGAATGATCTCCACCTCCAGGCGGCCGATGTAGAGCGATACGGCACACAGCCAGAAGAGGGCAGCGCTGGACACCACAGCCGTGTGGAGCAGCACAGCGGGCAGAGAGAGGAGCATGATCCTCCTCAGAGTCAGAAGACTGACCACGTATGACGCTCCACCGAACGACACACACACTCCGCCCAGGATGAAGAACGCTGCGGGACAAAAGGGACAAACCTTTCAGAACAGGAAAAGGATTTAGGTCTGAGTCAGACAAGATGTTACTCACACTCGCACACAAACAGAGAGGGGAAAGACTGAGAGCATGCATAAACACAACAAAACAGAGGGACTGAGAAGAAAGAGATGTAGTACCATATCCAGCCTCTCGGCCCACATCACTCTGTACAAACGCAATAACGCCGATCCCTGTTGACAGGAGACCATTCCGGAACCAGGACAGAAATCCTGCAAAAAGTAAATGAATAAAATTGCTTATCTGCCTAGATGCCTAAATATCTAAAACATTCATTCAACACTTTTGTATAGAGTCAAACATTCAGGTTCTAGAAGTAAAAATCTCCCATTCATTTTTTTTTTCTCAACAGAACAACAGATTTTTAACGATAACTCCCTAAATGTTAAAGACAGATCTACTGTGAGCTATGAGGTTGTTATTTTCAATGGTATATGCTTTTGTTGAAACCATCAGCCCGCATTATAGAGCTGCACGATTCTGGACAAAATGAGAATCACCAATTTTTTATTTTTTTCAAATAGACAACTAAACAAAATAACATGTAATTTACTGGGGTTCTGACATAATATTAATTGCTGTAGTCTATTTAAAAACGTTTCATTTATTTGAATGAAATTATTTTATTTACTTGAATAAAAATCGGTTTGAATAAATGTTCCAACGACTCACTCGTAAAGACTTGATTCATTACAGGATGAATCAGTGTTTTTGAATGAATCTCTTGAATGACTGATTCACTGACAAGAAACACAACAGTCTGTCGCCACTTACTCGCAAAACATGTAATCAATACAATCGTTATTTGAAGCATCAAGTTACTTTCAAAAGGTGACTAGCTCTATTTTGATTTTGATTATTTACATCAGTGTATATATCTGAATTATAAACTTTTATCCCGGTACTTCTGTCATAATAATGATACGGTGTTGTTGAAAAGACTGTTTCTGAAGCTTTTTCACACCTAAACATGATAACTGCTCTCTCTGGCAGCGCCAACACAGATCTGATGTTCCGGTGTGGTTTTGACACAGGAACATTAATTGTCAGATCGCATGGGTGTTTGAATCGAGATCGCAATTCGCAATCTTTTAACTACGGAAGTCCTGGTAAAAAGCTATATTACCCATGATTCTGCAGAGAAATCTCCACTAATTAGAGAATTAGAGAGTGCAACAGTCAGGTTCCAGAAGTAAAAACTTAATTCTTCGCATATGCATATTTTGCAATAAACATATATATATATATATATTGCTTCAAATAAAAGTATGTAATGTTATGTCCTTGTAGGGAAAGTAAGGAAGACTTTTTTTTTTAATCCCTATGGGAAAAACACTTCCAGAACCAAGGTCTCTGAAAAAGTGGTCAGGCACTGTTGCACTTTATAACAACAGCACAAATTTTGGTTGGTAAAGGAATAGTTTACCCAAAAAATGAACGTTCTTGCATCATTTACTCACCCTCATGTCATTCCAAAACCGTATGTCTGTCTGTGTCTTCCATTCAACGCAAAATGAAAAATATAAATAATCTGCTTGCTGCTGTTTTCCATGAAATTACAATGAATTGAAAACCTCACGCTTCAAAAAAGGATGCAAAAAAATACCATACAAGTATAAGAAGTCTAAATGACTTCAGAAGACTTGGAATAAATTGCACTAGAGCTTTGTGTGAGAAAATACCAAATTTTAACATGTTATTCACTGATGAACTTTTTATCTTTTTCTTGATCATTGAATCAGTGAGTTGAACATCATGGTTTTATGAAATGGATCAAGCAATTAATTAGAAAAAGACCTGACTCTAAATAATGATTTGTTCGCAAATAGGACGTAAAATGACATTGAAAAGAACTTGTCCATCACAACAAGTTATCAGGCAACTTCAGAAGATCAAGTATAATGCAGACTTTATTCACACTTTTTGTTATTTTGGAGCTTAGCAGTCCCGAGTGCACTAATAGTACAGTTCAACATTAATAATAGCCAAACTATTCTACTAAAAAGTCGCACAGAAGAGAACAGTCATATTTAGTAAAATCATGAGGGTGAGTAAATGGATTATTTTCTGTCAATGGGCCTAATTTGGACAGATGATCTCACCTGTTTCATGAGACTTCCGCAGCATCTAGAAAATAAAATAAAGTAATATAAGAGTTTATACACAGATCATTCGGTATTTATGCCAATAAAAATAAGACATTTTATAAAATATGGTATTATAATGTAACATTAAACCAAGGTAATGCCATGGTTTTTGGACACGACACCATGTTTAATAACACGATTTTGTACGAGTACCATTGTAGAACCATATTCTTTGGATTAGCATGTGAATAAAATGGTGCATTAATAACATCATTGTATACTACTTCTAGTGTACCAGAGTACCACCAGTACTTTTCGTAATTAGTAATATATAAATTAAACGTCTAAAGTGAGAGCATCAGGAGGAGTGAGTGAGTGTTAGTGTTTACCAGCGCGTCGGCTTTATCTAGTTCAGTGATGATGTACTGTTGCTGTTGCTCCACTGCTCGTGTTCTGTTCAGCGGGGGTTTCTCCATCGCACGGCGCGCGCTCCCCCGGTGAAGCGCGCGCGCTGGAGTCCACGCGTACTGAAGCAGCGGCCGCCGCGCGACCTGCGAGAACGGGCACACAAGACGGGACAACCGCTTGCACGTTAACCAACTTATGGAAGCCATCGTTTACAATGGACTGGGAAAACCCAAAACACGACCTTTACGCAACCTCTGAACTCTGACACTGCCGGTGAGTGTGTGTAAAGACTCAAGCCTCGTGCTCGCAGGAGTGCGCGTGGAATTCAGTGGCGCCATCTATCATTACTTCCTCGTCATATGATGTTATTTATGTATTATAATGAGTTCGTATTTAATGTCCCTGATTCGTTTAGTTACATCTCTTTGTTACGCAGTACTATATTTTAAAATGTATATTTTTAAGGGGTTTTAAAGGTAAAATCGTAGGAAGATGCAGTTGATGTTGTGTCCACAAGATGGCGGCAAAACACAACAAATCTTGTGCTGTTCTTCATGTCATAAGTATGACTTTTTTATTTATTTATCATAGTTTCCCCTTTTTATCTCATAATTATGATTTACCAAAGCATGATTTTTTCTTATGTGGCGGAAATGCGCTTCCATGGTATTTTGACCAGTAACAAACTCAAAGTTGTCCAAAATGGCATATATATATATATATATACATACACCAAGCACTGTAGCCTATATATATATATATATATATATATATATATATATATATAGGCTACAGTGCTTGGTAGATTACTTACAAATTGTAATCCATTACTAAATACAAATTACATGGTGAAAACTGTAGTTAGTAAAGTAATCATTACCGTACACATTTTAAGTAATATAATCTGACTACTTTTTGATTACTTTTAGACTACTTTTGACCTTACTTTTAGCCTTAACTTGTTTATCACATAGATGGAAATGGGATAAAACAAAGAGAGAGAAAAAATATGTTAAACATTTGTCATCCACAAAATTAAGTGCATTAAACAATACATTACACCAGTTTCCCTAACTGGGGTTTGTGAAGGAACGGCAGGAGGTTCGTGATTTGATGAAAAGGTGATAATTAATTAAATCATAAGTAAAATCTTAAAATAAAAACAATCAAAGTAAAGCACAAACAAGTTTTATTTTGTATGCTGTGTAGCCTTTAACTTGTGTACTTACACAAAACTGTAAGACTCTCTGAACATAAAAAAGCAATAGGCTGTTTAAGAAATTACCATTTAAAAGATGAAAAAGAAGAATTAGTGAATCAGTAAATTCTGACTAATTTACTGTCATATTGTTAATAATAAGTAATCATGTAATCAGTAAAAATGTTACTGTGTTCTGATTTAAAAAAATGAATATAATTTCATTACAAATAAATAATTTTTGGAATCTGATTAGATTACATATAATCCGTTACTACCCAGCATCTCTATATTTTGGTGGAAACTTAAGAGATTTTTGCAAATAACTAGCAAACAAAGTCTTGCAAAATGTTTTGCTTACATAAGTCACACTTAAAATATGTATAAAATTGGAGAATCCAGGTTGTATAATGTAAAAAATGATGATCAATAAGTTATGACAACATATGTTTTGACACTGCTTTACTTTTCATTTTAGTCGGTTTAATGTAATTTAAGTTGAAATGACTTAAACATCCAAGCTAATTGCACTTAAATATGTAAGTCAGCATTTTATTTTTACACTGATAGCAACTTGGTAGCTAGTTTCCTGTTGGTCTTTTCCTGTTGGTGTTTTATTAGCTATAGTTAACCAATCAACCACACAATACCTGTTTGACCACCTTAAGATGGTATAACTAGCTGGTAGAAACTACGTAAGTTTAGTTGTGGCAAAACGCTTTTTAAAATTCAAAATACTTTCTAAGCGAGGCCACTGTATTGTCCTGATTTGATAGTAAGTGTAAGTGTATAAAGTCATTTAAAGTGTGTGCTGCTGTTGTTTATAGCACATGTATGCTTGTGTTTGAGTGGCCTCTTCCGGCCTCCTCTCTCCCAGCGCAGAGGCCTTTTGTCTTGATGTGATCCTCTGGGATCGTGCGTCGCCACGCCTCAACAACCTGATGGTCATATAGCGTGAGGAGCGCAGAGAGGAAGGAGGGGGTCAGAGGAAAGACGGGACGGTGTGTGTATTTGTATGGACGTGTGTGAAGAATGCCTTAAGGAAAGGGCCGCCTTTGATATAAACAGTAACTAAGCTCGCGTTGTCACGCTATGATGCTGTTCCTCATGAAGACTGCAGACTTTTTCTTGTCAAGGCATGTTTTATTATGGCTGGCAATTTAATATGTTCATTAAGTGTGCATGTGCACACGGACCGACATTTAAACAATGATCTGAGTGCTAAAACTCAATTGCAAAGTAGATTGACTTCTAAAGGCATTCAATGCTTCATCTTCCTCAGTAATGTATACTTTGCATTTTCTTCATTTGAGGGCTTTTCTCAGTTATTGTTGTACAGTCATTAAAGGGATAGTTCACCCAAAAATGTTCCAAACCTGTAAAAATGTCTATGTTCTGCTGAACACACACATTCTTCAAAATATCTTCCTTTGTGTTCAGCTGAATTATTTATTTATTTATTTATTTTTACAAGTTTGGAACAACTTGAGGGTGAGTAAATGATGATTTTTGGGTGAACTACCTTTAAATGGTTAATAAATGTAACATTAATAACATAAAAGTTTGAAATGTTTGGATCATCAAATTTTTTTCACTTTATTCAGCAAGGGCACATTAAATTGATCAAAAGTGTCAGAAAAGACATGTATTATGTTCTATTTTAAAAGTGATTTTAGTTTTGATCTTTCTATTCATCAGATAATCCTGGGAAAAAAATCCACAAATATATGAAGCAGCACAATAATTTTCAACAATGTTTCTTGAGCAGCAAATCATCATATTAGAATGATTTCTGAAGGATCATGTGACTCTGAAGACTGGAGTAATGATGCCTAAAAGTTAGCTTTACATCACAGGAATAAATTACTTTTCACATTTCATAACATATTCATCAATAAAAAAGTTATTTAAAAATTTTAATAATATTTAATTCACAATATTACTGTATAATACTTGTTTCAAAAATCGTACCGACCCCATACTTTTGAATGGTATACAGTCTATGTGCCATAACTGCTGTATTACTTATGTCATTATGCATTAAAAAGTGTTATATTATTATAATAAATTACATTGTTTATAATATATATTTAATTGTATATTGAACTCTATTAGGTTATAATGACTAGACATGTGAAAATAATATATAAGCAAATAGCCAGCAAAAACCAAAAGTATATTATATAAGGTCATCATTTAAAAAAAAAAAAAAACTTATTAACAAAAAATTGTATGTAAAATAATTATAGGTAACACTTTATTTTAAGGTGACGTAGTTCCGTTACTACATGTACTTATAGAAATAACAATAAATAACAAATAACAATAAATTATGCATAATTACAAGTAATTAACCAAACCCTAATTGTATCTCTATAGTAAGTACAGTACAGTAAGTAGTTCATTAATATTACTCAGTACTTATTTAAGTACTACGTCACCTGAAAATAAAGTGTAACCTAATTATAATAATAAAACGATTCGAAAAATGGTAGATGTTCAGTTAATCTCGTCTGGAGGCATATGTCCTCATTGTGTCCCTGTGTTTGTTTAATCTTTTTTTCCTTTGAGTTGCTGTTATCTCTCCAGATGTGTTAACCCAGACCGCCCTGGTTTAGCTGGAGGTCAGTCTGAGCACTAGAAAGACGAACCGCTCTAGTAATCTGAGGTAGATCCAAGAGCAAAGGCCGCATTGATGAACACACTCACACACAGGGGCAGATGATTAAATTGAATGAGCAGGAGGAGGTTTCCACTCAATCAGAGCCCGGGCCGGATAAGGAAAAACACTTCCTGTTTGTCGACACATTCCAGGACTAATATCTCCCCTGCAGCTGAGATGACACTGATCTGGGGCCAGTTCCTCTTTAAAAACACAGATACTTATCAACGTGACATCAATCGCTTCTCAGCGTTATCAAGCCAGTGTGCAAGTTAAAAGTTCAAGTAATAGTAATATTAGTAGGTTACACGTGTATCCAAAAGACTGGGATGTATTGATTTTTTTTTCTTCCTGTATTTACATAGAGACAAAAATAAATTCTCCTTCTCAGTTAACAATCCCATTATTGTGTCCCAGTGACGTAAGTTTGTAAAAAAATACTTAACTTTTCAGTGTAATGCAAACACTTTTTTAAATCAGAAAATCAGCCACTTTTAATGTCCTCGTACATCACCACGTGACAGTCATCAATGTTTTCCGAGCTTATAATTTAGAAATAGAAAAAAAAAAATTAGAATACATTTGTATATCTATAAATGTTGTTAGTTTTAATAATAATAATAATTTATTAAGGATTATTAGACCCTAATAGATTATTATACTCATAATTAAATGTGTAATTTTAATATAATTTAAATATAAGTTATAGTCAGTTTATAGTACTTTAGTCAGTATTATTTTAGTTTAGGTTTTAGTCATTTTGTTGTGCTTTTGTGAATCTTATATATTTCCATCTAGCTTTATTTTTAAGTTTTATTTTTATTTTATTTCAGTTATTTGCCTAGGCTATGTTGTAAGTTTGTGTATATATTATTGTGTACGTATTTTCCCAAAGCGATTTTAAAGAGAAAAAGAACACAGTGGTCAGCTGTACAAAATCTGACATTTTAATTAAATACTGGCAAACTCAGAAAGGTTAAGCGAACATCTTTTTGTTCTCAGTTGATTTAAGTTTCATACTGTTACACGGCACAAAGCATTTTCTTTCTGTAGCTTCTCATTCAAACATCACACATATGATAAAGTGCTTTACCGTTTTACTTATCTGGCACTCAAACACAGAACAAAACTACACTCCCTCTATAGAGTATAAACCGCTGCTCTGTGCTGACTGAGACTATGTTCAGAATAGCACACTACTGTACTGTTTCTATAGTATGTATACTGTGCATACTATGCAAATGTTTACATGGAATAATGACAAAATGTGTAGTGTAGTATACAACCAAAACACACTGGACGGACCACTGCCCCCACAATGCTTTGTGCTTGACTTGACCTTCTGTTTTCAGAGTGACGAAATGGGCCATATCAGGTCCATTTTAATACATTTACAAATGTCAAAATATATATTTATTCATATTTAATATACATTTTACTTGACATTGTTTTACAAACTGAATTAAAAATGCCTTTTTGTAAATATTTCCTTATTTTTATCTTGTTGACATGATAATGAGCTAATTAGTTTAACATACTACTGTTGAAAACATTTAGCCCTCTGTTGCCTTTGCATACTGTTTTATAAATAGTAAGCAGTCTACAGTGTACACCGTGCAGTATGCTAGTGTTTCATTCTGAACATAGCCTCTTATAAGCATCTGATCAACTTGCAATGCCCTCTGGGAAATGTAGGCACAAGGCAAGAGTAGTGCATGTGTGGACACCTGATAGAATGAGGCGCTTGTGTTTTCCAGGTCACATATCCACCTTATATTTCAACGCGCATGTAAGCTATTATTTTCTGTGAATGTGCGGAGACTTCTGATTAATTTGCCCTTATATGTAAGAAACTGGAAGAATAACAAAATGCTGTAAATGGTCAAATAATTAGCGTTACAAACCAGTGTGTTTATGATTTTCATATACTACATTAAAATCATATGATAACGAGTAACCGTTTGCAATAGCAAGCAGCATAACACACTGTTTATGTACAGGTAAAATAACTGGAATGCATCTGCTCAGATGCTTTTAAGTTACAACGGCCCGCTAAGAATAAGGTGGATAAGTGCAGTTGCCATCACTTGTGGAGAGCCTCATATTGAGCTCTTGTGTTGTGCAGCGCCTCTCTGAGGCAGGAAGGAGATTGTCAGATCTCAGGTTAAAGTCCCCATGAATTCAAAATTGACCATACTTACTTTGTTTGCCTAAATTGATCGTTTTGTGGTGAACAATTCATCCATGCAAGTCAATCCACACACAAAAATTTTTTGGCTTCGTAATCTTTAGTCAAAATCTGAAATTTCCCCTCCCCTCTGCGTTGGAGGACCTTGCCTGATGACGTAGGTTTCACGGTTTGGGCGTCTTCTTAACATCCGTAATCACGCCCCTCCAACTGACAGTAGACAGGCTGAATGAAAACACCTACTTTTCTAGATCCAATCAGGTGCTAGTTGGGAAAAAAAGCCACGCCCACCATTTTGCCTCATTTAGTATTCCGTTTCTCTCGGAAATACGTCACAACACTGGAGAAAAGTCGTCCGCAACTTCCGGTTCACGGGGACTTTAAGTGCATCTCTAGAGAAAGACACTTAAAGACAAGATAGCATGCAGCAGGATTAGCCTAATGCTCACATATATTAAAAAAGGTCGCAAGCAGCACCCTGTTTGACCTTTTGTTACAGAACATACATTCTGCAGATTGCAAATTGAGTTGGTGCTAATTGGTTGTGTATTATAAGCTGGAAACGTCACTTGCACTAGGCTACTTTAGCACAAGGCTAGCTGCTCATATAGGCCAATTTATTCATGTTCTACGTGTGCTGGTATGCCATTGTGCCATGCACATTAAAACGACGGCCTTGTCATTATTTTCTAGGCAAACATTCAGTCTTTCTATGCAAATGAGGCTGTAGAATTTGCCAGATTCATATGTACCATGTGGCCGCGCACTTAACGTGCACACTATTGCCATCTATGAAAAGCAGGTGAACTGAGTTTTATTTAAAAATTATTTAAAAGGCAGTATTTCATCAAATGTGGATGAGGAGCATTAAAATCCGGTATATATCCAGAGATAGAGCAGTCCGGAGCATGTTTAGCTGATTCAGATGAATGGATTTCAGTAGTGAAGCGATGCTGCAAAATATTTATATCAAATGTCAATCCGTTTAAAACAAACTAATAAACTTAAATTTATGCATATTAAAAAGCAGGTACGATTTTTATTTATTTTTATAATATTATATATTATTATTGGATTTTATGTTAAGAATCATGTTCTCAAAATGCTTAGAATAAGCAATAATCTGTTCATTGTGAGAATTAAATTTATTCAGTTAAAAAGTATGGTTAAAATATGGCTAGCTGTGGAACATTCAGTTAGTTAAAATATATGAGATTTAAATCAGTTGGATTCATTGATGATAAATATGTAAACCTGGTTATTGTTTATTTAAAGCCCATTCAGTTTATTAGTACTATTACAGAAATCTTACCGGTTTCATTTACGTATGACTGACAAATATGCATCACATTTAGTTTATTAGTTTATTGTTAAAACTGTAATCCAAAATAGATGGAATTTGTAATGCAATTTTTTTTTCTTCAATTGTCACAGTTTGGAATGTACAATATATCGGTGTCATATCAGGTTCCGGCATTTAATTTATCGACATTAGATGTTTACTTGTGCAGCTCATTTTCTGTACTTTTACATTTAATTATATTTGTTGCAACACTTAAACTTCTTTAAAAACACAAAAATTGTATAACTGTTATCAAATATTTATCAAATATCAAATTTTAATATTGTCAATTTATCAGTTATCGCCTATAACATAAAATAATATTTAGACGTTAATTCTCGCTTATCATTATCGGCCAGAATTTTAATATCGGCACATCCCAAAGTACAATACAGTCCCAGAAAACCATTAGAAATGAAGGTTGGGGCTCTTCACACAGAACATGTTCTGGATGCATTTATCAAAGTTGAATTACATTTAACTTGATGCAGCATCTTACAAAAGCGGCTCCCGTGGATTGAAATAAAAATAAAAACTCAGAGATGTGATGCAACAGCAAAGACAATTTAAAAAAACAGCGCAGACAAACCGCAAGAACGCATACTACGTGAACGGCCCTAAAGTCTCCTGAAAACTGGGGAACTGCAGCATTCAAATTAGCTTTCCGCACAATATGTTTGGTTGCTACCAGATTCGCATAATTATTGCAGCAAAGCCAGCCGTGAAAATTGACACCTTCAGAGGACGCTGTTCATTCTGAGTGAATTCACCCTGAATGTTTCCTAGGGCTCAGGCTCAATCTTAAGGGATTCTGTTCACTGAAGCATTCATGTACTGTATAATATGATTGTTGGGTATTCTATGTCAGTTTTCATGATCTAGCTGAGCACTGGCGTAAGTCAGATATCAGTGTTAAGCTGGATACACATTCACTGAACAAGATATGACAAAGGCCACTGGAAAATCTCACTTCACGCAGGGGTGTGGTGTCGTGAAAAGCAAGGGTTGAGTTTAGAGATGGAAAATCTTATTTAATACAGTAATTACACAAAATACTAGTAGCTAAAGTCCATTCGTAATGTTTCTGTTGTTAACTTTCCTCGGGATGAGGGAAAACCGGCCATTCCTGCCAGCCCTTCAGTGCCGTGACCATCAAGTTTGAGACACCGTGGTGTCCCGTGTTCATCCAATCAAATCAAACTTGTTGGATGTTTGAGGCCACAGAAAGAGCCGTGATTGTTGTGCTTTTTGCGTCCCCTCTTGAAAACGTCCAATCGCGCAGAAGCACGGGCCACCACACACATGAACAGGACACACTTGAGTGTTCACTCGACTGGCTGACATTCAGGTCTTGCTGCTCTGTGTGACGGGCACTTTAACTCCTTTCTGTCCTGCAGCTGTGAAGGACAGAGAGAGACAGAAGGTGAATTAAAATAACAGAACTAAAGCAATACTCTAACCCTTGTGCTGTGCTGAAAATCCTTTACCTAATTAGGTTTTACCTTTTAAATTGCCTGTAAATCTCTTATAATGATATATATAATTGAAAAGAACTGAATAAAAGTATTCATTTCTCTCCCTGCCCTCACAGGTCACTTTCACATTGTACCCATTGGTTGTGATTGGTTAGTATGCTTCCTCTTTTTAACATTAGTATCACCGTGAGAAAATGTGTTCCCACCAACCAAACCTACTGAAAACAGTAAGTGAGAAAACAGCCTAAGCCACAAGTTTCTTTTGAAAGATATGACACTCACCCAGTCTGTACTTCTCCTTAGCTTCAGTCCGCTCTTTTGCATCGAAGTACCAGACGGTGATGGCATAGCTGTGGGAAGAGAGAGATCATTACAGCCACAATTGAGAGGGGTCAGACAATCTGACTAGTGTGTATTGATCTGTGAACTCAAGACTGTTTAGAAACTGATATGGAGTTTGAGATGTGCAGAATCATGTGGATAACTGTGAGGTCAAAGCACAGAAAGGGTTAAGTCAACACTAGTAGAGCGGCTGTTTTGTTTATTCCTGGCTCTGTTCTACCGGCACGAGCGCACAAACTGAAACGACGGCCACTTACACTCAGGAAGCACGTACTTCCTGTGCCCCACCTCGGCCCCCAGCTGCGATGGTGCTTGATACACACCTACCCTCATCCTGAATCTAGAATAATGTCAAACGTAAACGGCAATTGTTTTACTACACCAAAAATATGGCGTTTAATTTGTTTCATCAATCTCATTTCAAGACAAACCCTCTTCCTGAGGAAGACCAACTGCAGGTGTGGTGTTTATAGAGCAGGATCAAATCAAACCGTAGTGTTTGTAGTGGTGGGAGAACAATGGTGGAGGACGACTAGGGGACGGGGTCAGATGAGTGCACTAGCTTGCATGTGTTTTGAGAAAGATCACAGTCTAATAGATGAGAGGTTACAACAACTAGGACTGTGGTTGTTGCCACATGACATTTTACAACCTGAACCAGAGTCGCATGATTAATTGTGAAAAGATCACAATCTTGATTCAAACACCCATGCGATCTTATTCGTGAATGACAACGATTTGGCTGTATATCTATAAAATGTTTGACAAGTACGATCTCAGCTAACATTCAGGCACTGCGGCTGTCCCAGAGAGAGCAGTTGTCATGTATAGTATGAAACAGCTTCACAAACAGTCTTTCGAACAACACAGTATCATTATTTCTGTCTTAGAATATTTAACATTATCACATAAGTACTGGGATAAAAGTTTATATTTCAGATTTAAACACTGATGTCTACCATAGTGATCAAAATAGACCAAATCACGTTTTGAAAGTAACGATGTATGTATCACTTACATTGTTACACCAGTAGGTAGCGACAAATTTTATTATTTGTAAATTAATCATTTATTTAAGAGATTCGTTCAAAAACGCTGATTTACCCAGTAATGAAACAAGTGAAGTCTTTATGAGTGAGTCATTGAATCATTCATCCAAGACATTCGTTAGAAATGCTGATTCATCCAGCAATAAAACAAGTGTAGACCTTAGCTGTGTCCCGAGGCTGCATCCTTCAAAGGCCACGAAGGTCGGACTGAACATTGTTTAATGGGACAGTCTAGCCTACGGAGGATTATTCGATTGTACAGGACAGCTGCCGTTGACGAGCGGCAGTAATGTTTTGTGCTAGACTTTTTTAGACTTTAAATAAGTTATTTTAAACTGGGTTCACAAACTGTCTTAATATGTTCAACATGGTCCATTTCTATATATAATAAAGAGTATAAACTATATAACAACTTATTAAGATGATATGTCATCATTTGAACCGCTTTTAAAACAAAATGTTTTTAAATTTGTATCATTAAAGGATAACTAAACCAACTTTTTTTAGTTAATGATCTGTAAGAATGGGGCTTTATTAGTGCTGTTCATTGATTCGAGTAACTTTTTTTGACATTTGGGTATAAAGTGTTTTAATTCTACAATATATGGTGTAAAATCGTCTGAGTGCTGCCCTCTTCAGGTTGAACGTTGGCTACTGCAGTTGAATTTTCCTATTGGATGTTTGAGGTAGTTCGTGACGTAAGCGGTGGGAGGTGACGTAAGCTGGTTCCAGCTTACCACGCTCTTGGCACGAGCTACCACGCCCTTGGCAGTATAAAAACCATCTTGTTTCGTCAAAACCACTGTAGCGAGTCAGGAGTTGGAATTGCGAGTGTCGAAAACGATCAGGATAGAGTATCCGTTCATCCCCTCTATCTCCGCTGGGCTCCGCCCACTTTTCCAGCATTTTTCAAATATTGCCAGTGGGTGGAGTCAGGCTCTGACCAGGGGTTTAGTTACCCTTTAAATATTTGAGCACGTTGAAACCCAGTACTTACGTTTAAAAGTGTAATTCGCCTTTGGCTAAGCCCCGCCCCCCTTAGTCACTGTTGCTACGTCCAACAAACAAACTTCATCTGGGCTCTGGTATCAACATGGCTTATGCTGTGACAGCTCTTCCTGCTGAAATTTTATCAAACTTTTATAAAGCAGCAAATAAAGTGTCCGATAGAAGTAGGCAAAAGGGGCTGCAATATACGTTCGAAGGCTATATTCACGACATACAGGTGAAACGCAAGGAACAACAAGGCATCCAAATAGAGGCAAAAGCCTACCGGTCACAGTCAAAAAATGAACCACCGCAGATATCCTACTAATCGAGACGGAGGCTGGGACTAACAATATCAAGGAGCAACACTGTTCATGCAAAGCTGGGTAGGTCTCTATTCACTTCTATAATCGTTATTACAAAGCAAACGGACTACGCGAGTATAACGTTGTATTTATTAGCAGCGTGTGCTAGACGACACTTGTCAGGATTTGACTTCGGTTTGGGAAGGGAAAAAACACCCTTTGGGAAGGGACACCCCCCTCCAACCTCTCTGGGAAACGCGTATCTGTGTAACAAATGCCCCAGGCACAACGTTTAACCATATTTTTGATAAAACTACGACGGTAATAGCCTGCCGAGACCAAAAATATGAGACGCCTGTGTTAAAGTCAATGGAGCGCTGTGAAAAAGTGTCGGACCTCTGTGGGAGCTCGTTCTTGGCTGCGCTGTGATTGGTCAATCTACATTCTAGGGTGTGGCTTAGCCAAAGGCGAATTCTGCAATTTCTCTCAAAACAACATCCTGGCGCGCAATGAATTCTGGGGGAGGGCAAGGCCACGAAGGATCTGTTGTATCCTTTATTTCAGGGTAAACGAAGGACGCATTTTTTTTAGAAGCCTTCGAATAGGGACAGCCTTCGTCACTCCGCGGTGACACAATCGGAGCAACCTCTGAATTGATATGCAGCTTATATGAGTGAGTCATTGAATCATTCATTCAAACCGATTTTTTAAAAACATTTTAAATATACTGCAGCAATTAACATCTTGTCAGAACATATTATTTTGTTTAGTTGTCAATTCAGAATTGTGGGGGAAATCGTGATCTCTGTTTGAAACAAAAAGATTGTGATTCTCAATGTATCCATAATCGTGCAGCTCTAACCTGAACTAATCTTGTTTTATCTGATATTTCAAGAGACTTATTGATCTGAACACACAGTCATGAGGGTCTGCAGGCATTCTCTTTATGATATCACTTCCTTGTTTATGTTTTCTCCCTACATGTTTCTGTATGTTGGTCGCACCACATGACTTTGATTTGACAGATATGTTTTTTTTTTTTTACAAGCGTTATTCAAATATTATTAATTGATAATAAGATAAAATCTTATTAAATAACAATAAGCAAAAATTATGCCGAGGTGTTTTTATAAATAATTTCATTATTTTATCATAATTAGCATTATGATAACGACAGCTGTACCACCCTGACATTTTTGACTCAATTCCCCAAAATAATTTTAATTAATAAACTGAAAATATGACCATCACAAAAGAGGTGTATTCAAGTCAGTGTACCAGTGTGTCAGTGTGTTTTAACTGTAAATAGTGTTTACTCACCGGGTGGCAAAAGCTGGTTTCACCTCATGTGGATTCCGGCGATCTGACCAGAAAATGAGCAGACGGTCAAAAAGAGGCTCGATGTTGGCAACAACATTACGACCCTCGGGGTAGATCTGCAATAAACCTCCATGAACCTGGGAAAACAGACAAAAAACAAATGGGTAAGAGAAGACTCTTCTCCTGACTGATCAAGTCACAGTAAGAATAAACACAGCATACCTTCACATCCCAGTCCTTGTTCAGATAGTAGATGCAGGTTATGCAGCGTCCGTCGCCGTTAGGATTGTCCACATGTCGAACATATCCTGTTCCGTTGCCAGGGTAACACGCCACCATGGC